CGCGGCAGACAGCGTGGCTGCAGCTGATGCGTTCTGGCTGCTGCACACAGCGCTGTGCCGCCTCGCACACTGGCAGGCAGCGGCCAGCCGTCCGTTTCACTTGACTGGCACTCACCGGCTGATAACTGCCAGCATGGCTAACGCATTGACTGCGGCCATCAGGCTAGATGCGGCCACCGGTGAAAGTGATTGCGGGAGCGGCGGCAGGTGGGCAGGACAGTCCTGGCTGCGCAGCACCCAAGCTGCAATGTCCGTGTGTGTGCATTGGGGGGCGCCGCTGTCAGCCTCTCCGCCTGCCTGGCTTGACTGGTCACCTGCCGTGTGCCTGCAGGCGCCTGCTGGCCATGAGTGCGGCCCGTGTGGAGGCTGTGCAGGCCAGCGCTGCTGCCTGCACATCGCCAGCCAGCGATGCTGGCGGGGTTCCAACAGCGCTGGTGGAAGCCTTGACTGTGGCTGCTGCGGTTGAGGCTGGGCCTGCACTGCTGCTTTCCTCCACGCCAGTGCGTTTGGTGCTGGAGCGGCTGGTGGAGCAGCTGGCGCCAGAGGTGCGCCCCAGGGCTGCTCGACAGCAACGCTGTCGCCCCAGGTTGTGGCAGTCTGCAGTGCGTCGCCACAGCGGTACTGCTAGCATGCCTGCTGCTGCATCGCCTCATGCCTGCCGCTCTCCGCCTGGCCTCTGCGGTGCAGGGTCCGCTTGCCGGCAGCCCGGATGCTCACCAGGTGGCAGCCTTCCTGCACGAGGCGCAGCAGCGGCCCATGCAGGAGGAGGCAGACCGGCTGGAGGTGGCGCAGGCGGCCGCACACCGCAGCTGCGCCTACCTTGCATGCGCCAACTTGGTGGGCGAGGGCGGCCCAGCCGCGGGGCAGGGCGTCGGCAGCCAGCGCTGCGGCGCCTGCAGGGCAGTCTGGTACTGCGGCACCGCCTGCTCCCACGCCGACTGGCGCGCCGGCCACAAGCGGGTGTGCAAGGCGCTGGCGGCGGCACGGCGGGCAGAGCGGGAGGCGCCGCAGGGGACAGCGGCGCAGCAGGGCGACTGAACGGCGCTGCTGCCTGGGCTCTGTGTCATACTCGGTTCCCTTTGCCCTCGCTTTGATGCGCATGACTGTTTGCATGTGTGTATGTATGTGCCATAATGGTGGGTGTCACAGCAGCACAACCTGGCGAGGCTCACTCCACAGCAGTGATGATGTGGCGCGCAGCTCATTCAGCAGCAGAAGGCCGCAGCCGGGGGTGCTTCTGCTTCGGCCGCGCAGCCGGAAGCGGCACCTTCCCTGCCCTGCGCCTGCCCTGCTCAGGCTGCATAGCGCTGCAGCGTGTCCAGCCCCACATGCTGCAGCGTCTTCTCATGTGTGGCCTCCAGCACAACGGGTGGTGCCACGCCGGCCTGCAGGCGGGATGGGAGGCAGGCGTGGCGCCGCGGCCGCCATGCTGAGGTGGAAGGTGGCGGTACGGCAGGCAGTACACATGCAGTACAGGCGGGAACAGCAGCCAGCTGGATGAGTGGCAGGGAGTCGGGAGAAGGAGAGGGAGAGGGCCACAAGGGTGGGAGGGGGTGAGTCAGCAGAGGGAGGGTGCAGCAGTACAAGCGGTACCATGCAGGACCAGGGGGTCCAAGGAGGGTGCCCGCCCACCTGCACCGCCTCGGCCCACCGCGAGGCGCACAGGCACCAGCCGTCGCCCTCCTTGAGGCCGGGGAACCTGCGTGGTGGCAGCAGGGGATGGGGAGGGGGAGTCGCATCATGCCAGCGAGGGGGAACTCCATGTGGGGAGGCCAGGCAGCGGGCAGGGCCAGCAGGGGCAGCCAGCAGCAGCATGCAGTCCGGGCAGGCGCCCGCCTGGCGTTCGTGCCGACCTGTACTCTGGGCGGGGCGTGATGAGGTCATTGCCCTGCTGCAGGGTGTACTGCAGGAAGGCCTGGGTCACCTGGGCGCACACGGTATGCGTGCCATGGTCGGACGGGCCCGTCTCGCACCTCCCACTCCTGCGCGGCAGCAGCCGGGATCGGGATGCGGCCCCGCTGAGGCTGCTTCGGCACGCAGGCAGAGGTGGGACGCGCCCCAGCATGCTAGGTGTGTTGTGTGCGCGTCAGCCGCCCTGCTGCTCACCGCAGGAAGCCGGTCATGGGGTCTGTGGAGCAGGTGGCCAGGCTCTGGCCCAGCACGTTCCTGGGGCCGGCCACCGCGGCAAAGGTGGCACCGTCGCCGTTGCCGTTGCTCATGGCTCCCGTCAGCACGGCGGCGGCGGCCGCGAGGGTGGCAGCGAAGAGGAGCGAGCGCATGGGACGCTGGGGCAGCCTGGAGGAAATGGACTGCAGCGGTGCGGGGGCTCGGGAGCTGCGTGGCCCCGCGGCAAGGCTGCCTGCAGAGGGGCCGGCGGGGCGCAGGCTGGCCGTGGCGGCGCTGGCGGTGGGAAGGGTCTGCGTGGCGGCGCTGGCGGTGGGAAGCGTTTGCGAGGCGGCGCTGGCGGCGGTGTGTGGCTGCAACCTTGCAGCGACTCGGCTCGTTAGCTTCTTGGCTTGGAGTGCGCTGGGCGCGGGTGCGGGAGTCGCAACAAGTTGGCGGAGAAGGGTCATGCACACTCGCTACGGCCTGGTGGGAATTGCACTTGGAGGCGGATCGACAGGATAGCAACTGGATCAGCGGTAGGCGGCGTTCCACTGGTGCGTTTGATCATTGCCCAATGATGACATGGCGCTGCCGCTCCCGCCTGCGCCGCCCAGCCACGACACACACACTCCAACCTGGCCCTGCTAAGCTTCTCTTCTCCTTTCTGCGTGTGTTTGTGTGTCACATTGAGGTGGTGTCAGCAACAATCAAATGACAGCGAGAAAGGGGAAAGAAAGGGGGCAAAAAAAGGGAGAGCGATGCGGCGGCGGCTGGTGGGGACGCCGTGCGTTGTGTTCGGACGAGCTGCGCTGGGGCGCCCTCTTTAAAGCTCTGCGGCAGGAAACGTGCAGGAGCACACTGTGAGGCGACTGCGTGCCATACCAGACCGAGATGCATGGACCGCCAGGGCAACAGGCTGGCCAAGCCACTGTAGCCACCACCCCACACCCACAAACCCCAACGCAGACCACCCCACCACGCACCGTCGTGGCCGCCCAAGTCATCGTCGTCGCCGCCGCCGCCGCTGCCGTCCTCGGCGCCGCCGGATGCCGCGTACACCTGCGGGCGGAGGGGCGGCCAGGGAGCATCGCCAGCCTGGTCAGCCTGGCGCCCGCTGGCGGCCGTCCCCCACCGTTTTCCCACCCTCCAATGCACACACACCTCGCACCCCCAGGCAGCCACCGCCTGGGACGGCCAGAGACTGGCCCTGTGTGTGTGTCAGGCCCTGGCCCAGAAGCGCACCCCTCCCTGGCATGCCTGCCTGCGCCGGGCGGCCCCCACCTTTGAGATGATGGGTGAGCAGATGTCCTGCACCTCCTTCAGCTTCTCCTCATAGTCCTCCTTCTCAGCCTCCTGCACCAGACGGCAGCGGCGTGACCAATGCGCGTGAGGCGGGGTGTGGCGGGGGCAGCGCACACTTGGGAGGCAGCCAGCCAGGCGGCCAGGAAGGGAGCTGCTGCAACCCAAAGGCACAGCGGGAGACGCTGGCGCCCGAGCACGGCGCAACCAGCGCCGCAACCTAGCAGAGTCGCCCCCACGGAGCCAGCGGCGGCAGCAGCGCAACCGCCACGCACTCGGCACTGCTAGGGTGCAGCAGCCAGGAGCAGCCCTGTCCCCCCCACACACCTGGTTCTCATCCAGCCACTCCAGCGCCTCCTTCACCGCCCCCTCAATCTTCTCCTTGTCATCCGCCTCCAGCTTGTCCTTGAGCTTGTCGGTGACGCTCTGCAGAGCAGGGAGGAGGGGGGGAGCGGCCGGGAGGTCAGTGGGAGGGAGATGAGTGAAATGGGGAGCAGGGGGCGGCGTGGATGCTCGCCCTGCACACCCTCCAGCGCTGCCTGCCTGGCGTACACCAGCACACAAAAGGCCTCTCCCCTACCAGCCAAGCGCCCCGCCCCGCCGCCCGCCTGAGCACCCGCTCCACCCGCCTACACACCCAGCCGCCCCTGCCCCTACCGGCACCCCGAACACCAGACACACCCAGCCACCCATACCTGCACCCTGCACCGCACATCCGCGCCCTGCAAAACCCCACCCACCCACCTGCTTCATGTTATACGCGTACGTCTCCAGCTGGTTGCGCGCGTCGATGCGCGCCTTGACTTTCTTGTCCTGCTCCGCAAACTCCTCCGCCTCGTTCACCATGCGGTCAATCTCCTCCTGGCTCAGCCGGCCTGCAGCACGGGCACGGCGCGGCGGTGGTACGGTCGGCCACGAGGGCGAGGCGAGGGCACGGCGGCGGCCGGCCGCGGCGCGGGCCGGCGGCCTGCCAAGGCCATGCCAGGCAAGCCGAGGCCAGCCAAGGCAAGGCAAGCAAGCTGCCGGCCAGGCACAGCTGCCCGGGAGAGGCGCCCCCTCGCCTCTCCCCCTGCCCCAGCGCAGAACCCTGGCAGCACCCTAGCAGCACCCCAGCAGCAGCGCCCCAGCAGCAGCACCCACCCTTGTCGTTTGTGATAGTGATCTTCTCCGACTTGCCGGAGCCCTTGTCCACGGCGGCCACGTTGAGGAT